GTTGAGGGTTCAGCCTCCTGATGAGTCGGTGAAACTCCGACGAAACAGTTTGTCACAGCCCCTCGTTTGTTGTCCTCTTCTCCCTCTCTGCCTACGGTTTACCGGGCAGTTCTATTTGTGACGATATATACCGGGCAGTTCTGTTTGTGAAGATATATATCTATTTGACGATATATATATATATGACGATATATATATATATATATAAGATGAATCATTCAAGTTATGGCAGATATATGCACATATCCTGGTGAGCGTGTGTGCGTCTTTAATGCACCGCCCAGTAAAAGGTTAGGAATCTAGGATCCATCAGAATCCAGATCCAGATCCAGGTCAGTCATGCTTGTTTCTTTCTTTGGCCATTATAAATGTAATAAAGCTTGACTGTGTCATGTTGGGTTTTTTATCCTTGCAGGCGTGTTACACGGACCCGAGGACAAAGCTGCGGTATGCCAACTGTGAAGTACTGAAGACTATAAGGTTGCTTCCGGAGCAGTTCATCCAGGATTACTTAGCCCTACGGAACGCTGCAGTGGTCCTGAAATGAAACACACTGAAATTTGTTTTTCCATGTAATAGTTCGGCTTTCTCTTGTCCATTGATCCAAGAGTGCATCAACGGTTTTGCATTGCGTTTGTTTTTGCTTTTTCACGGTTTTTTTCGTTTTTAGGGGCTTTTGCTGTTTCATCGTTTCTGAGCGTGTCTCGTTAGGCCCACGTCCCTTTGTTATCATTCTACAGAATCTACACACACATGCCAAAGGGCTTTTACGTACCCCCTCAGTCAGTACGCCCGTGAACTGTCAAAACAGTAAAAAAGTTTTAAAAACAGACCCAAGTTCAAACCCAGATGATGGAAATAGGTGAATGAAAGTTATGAAACGAATATCTCCGAGACTACCTGGGGCCGGCCAACCAACTCTATGACGATATCTCAAGGCCGTCACCCTTCTCTTTAAAAAATCAAATAGAAAAAAGAAAAAGAAAAGAATAAGAAGTACGCATGCTGTCTTTCGGGACATCTGTTAAAATTGGAACGATACAGAGAGAGAGAGAGAAGATTAGCATGGCCCCTGCGCAAGTAAGGATGACACGCATAAATTGAGAAATGGTCCAATTAAAAAAAAAAAAAAAAAAAAAAAAGTACGCATGCTGGGGTAACTACACACCATACCAATGCCAGTGGGCCACGGACACCTCACTGCGCACCATGTTTCATCGAGTCGAGCGCTGTCATCGGATGCATTTACATTTTTGCATCATGCGTGCATTTTTTCGCTCAAACTAGATCCGATGACGATGCTCAATTCGGATGCATTTACATTTGCTCGAATTTGGAGGTTGGGTCTGACAGCACCAAAAGAATTTGGCCACAAAAATAACTAAATCCCTAGCTAGTGTGGTGTGGTGTTCAGCAGAAACTGAGCGGCCGGCAGACCACACTGGGTGGTGGGGCATCGGAATTCTCTCTCCTCAGGCACCCATTTGCCCCCCCCCGCCCACCCCCGAAAAAACAATTTGACCATGTTGTCCCCTCAGCCCTGCCTAAAGAATTTGCCCATGAAATGCCGCACGACGTGCGGTCGCGACAAAATTTGCGTCACTTGGTCACCGGAACATGTCACACTGCCAGTCTCGAATGCAAAAAAAATGCATCATGCAGCCACCAAAACAATTCGCACCGTTGCGTAGGAGCGAGAGCGAGAGAGAGAGAGAGAGAGAGAGAGAGAGAGAGAGAGAGAGGGGGGGGGGGGGGGGGGGGGGGGGGGGGGGGGGGGGGGGGGGGGGGGGGGGGGGGGGGGGGGGGGGGGGGGGGGGGAGGAAGAGAGAAAGAGAGAGTTCAACCCTCGTTGTGCCACCATTCCCTCCACCTCGGGCCACTTCCTCCCCAGTCTCCTCCTCTTCCTCCTTCTCCCTTCTTTTCGCCTTGTTCTACTCACTCGTCTCCTCCGACGTCTCCATAGAGAGAGAGAGAGAGTTCGCCTTGTTCTTCTCACTCATCTCCTCCGACGTCTGCTCAGAGAGAGAGAGAGAGAGAGAGAGAGAGAGAGAGAGAGAGAGAGAGTTCAACCCTTGTTTGCCACCATTTCCTCACTGTGCACCACTTCTTCTTTTCTCCTCCGTCTTTCTTCTTCTGCTGCTGCTCGTCTTCCTCGAGTCCCAACACCTCGGCTTTGTCAAGCGCAGGTGGAGGTTCGGATGGCCAAGAAGAACGCAAGGATGGACTGTCTTCTTCTGCTGCAGCTTTGCAAACCCTCCCCCCATTCCCCTCCCCACCCTGTCCCCCATCTCCACCAACACTCAAAAAAAAAAGCCCGGGTCTCGGCTCATCTCCGTGGGCGCAGAAAGGCCCCAGTGTCAATCTGGAAAAAAAGGGCCCTCTTTTGAAGTTTTGACCCTGCTTGGGTCACTTGCCTGCCTGCGCGGTCGGTCCCCCCTGGTATCCTAGGTGGCGCGGAACATTTGCCCTTTCATTTTGACAAATGGCCTGTCAGTGAATGAAAGGGCAAAACAGGTGCTGGGTTCAGTTGCGGAACATTTGCCCTTTCATTCACTGACAGGCCATTTGTCAAAATCAGGGGTCTCAAGCAACCTCATTTGTCAAAATCAGGGGTCTCAGGCAACCTCGTTTGTCAAAAAAGCAGGGGTCAAGCAACCTCATTTGTCAAAAGCAGGTGTCAAGCAACCTCCATAACAAGATGGTTAGTGATGATCCGGTTTATTAAAACTTTGTTTATATTTTATTGGGCAACATTGCGCAGCTGACATGCCTCAAGACCGAGCCCTGGGGTGGAGCCCTCAGGTATATGCACCATCTTTGGTGCTGGAAATTGTGCAGCAGTCACGCGACATGCCCAGGACCGCTAAAGCAAATGCACACCACCTCCTCTGTCTTGTTGCGTCAGGTGCATAATGATTCTGAAAGCTAAGAGCCACTAAGTTTTTGTGTTTGAACTTCTGACGCCGAGGTTGGTTAAAAAAATGGAGGGGAAGGTTGTCTCTCAGTGGAGAGGGGCCCACAAATGGTGACCCCACCTGCCTCTTGCCCTCCCCCCCTTCCCCCCCCCCCCCAAAGCCAGTGGTGCTTGATTACTAACCCGAGCGTCATCACCACTTGGTAGCAGGCTTAGGGGACAGTGAGGAGGGGCGCAAGGAGTTTTTTTTTTGGGTGAGGCACAGATCAAGGACAGGTGAAGGACGGTTAAAATAGCCCATCTATGCTTCGAAAGGACAGGAATAGTGTAGTCGGATTCTGTCGTAATGTACCTGAGCAGGTCGTCCAAGTTCGGAGCATGCACTGCACATCACAGCCTGATCCAGGTGCATAATGATTCTGACCAGGTTGGTTTCTCCACCACCAAAGCTGAGTACTGAGTAGTCCTTTTGTCGTTGGCATCACGAAAAAAAGTCGGAAAAACCCAAATGACAAAAAGAGTTGAAAAAGGAGTTTTGCAAAATTGTATATCTACCCACTTTCACTGAGGGTGGGATGTGAGGAGAGGGGGGGGGGGGGGGGGGGGGGGGGGGGGGGGGGGGGGCGCCGGGCGCGGGGTGCGGGAGAGAAGCATTGCGACCTCTGCAGCTGTGGTGCAGAGGTTGCAAGATGACCCCTGCAAAACAGAGTGACCACTGGAGGGGGTGGGTGTGGGGACCACCACTAGTAGGAGAGAGGAAGTGGGAGGATGGGACAGGGCGAATGAGTAGAGGCAGGGTGGCATGAACAACCGGAGAGGAGGGGAGGGTGCCTTGCAAAAGATTCATCACAGCTGTCTACCATCGTCACCGACGTAGAACGTCCAGTCCTTATAGCTGTTTCTGGTTTAGCTTTCAGCCTAGATACAGCGATAATGACCGGGTGTTCTATCTGGATGGAGAGTCTGGAGACAGTAGCCAAAGTCTGTGTTATCGTGCCAAAAAACAAAAGTCATCGATGACCCCAACGGACCTTCTTTTCCTTCCCTTTGTCTTTCTTTCCTTTTTGTAAAAGCGCGAGGAGACACCCTTCTCCAAAGTAGGAGCTAGCCCAGCAGGTTCCTTTCTTATGTGCTAATTATCAAACAGTCGATCGCGGACTGGGGATTGTATCTCTAGTGCCACTTTTGAAAAAAAGGCGACGGCCTCCCCACGAATAGACTGGAGCGGTTGTCCCCCTTCAAAAAAAAAATAAAAAATAAAAAAAATCATCATTGAACTGACCAGTCCTAGGTAACAATTCACAATTACTTTTTTCTGTTCATCTGATTGCCGTCTGGACTCTGGATTTAAATTTCAAATTCCGGTCCGTATTTCAACAGTTTGTGGGTGTACCGACCCGAGCTAGGCTCGTTGGTTTGAAGAAACAATGTCTTTGTTTGGTGTTTTGTTTTTGTAAACCGTCGGTACTTCCAAGCCTCTTTGTCCTGAGGCTCAAAACACCGGAAGTACCTTCGCCACGGGGAAAAAAAAGCTGGACTGGCTCCGAGCCCACTTTCGGCAGGTGCCGCCAGCCATTTTTCTCTGGCAGCCGACACCAGACAGTCGCGGCGTGCATGCACTCACGTTGAAGAAAAATGGCCAGGAAAACGTAGGGGCGGTTTAAAATTCAAAGTTTAAACGGATCTTGTCTATGGCTTGGCGCAGGCTGATCAGAGGGTGGGTGGGGGGGCGGGGGGGGAAGCCACAAGCACGTCCGCTGAAATACCGTAGAGCAAGACACTGCTGAACAGCTTGGCATCTTTTTTTTTAACCACCAGTACCCTAGGGGGTCTTAGGCCCTCTCTGGGGCCCCTCTGATGCAAATGCATTTGGAGTATTATGGACCCCTGCAGCGCACCGATTCATCCACCTCGATAACCGGCCTAAAAACGTGGAGGTACTGGCGGTTTAATGGGAAACTCACACATATGGAGGTGACAAAATGTGATTTTCCCATGAACGCCGATTTAACGGCCTATTGATGTCAGATACATGCATAAAAGTCCTACGTGCAGATTTGACGGCTCCAGTTTATATTAGCGGGGAGCTGCTCCTGCTGGAAAACTGGGTGTACTAGACTCCCAACAAACACACAGAAATCCCAGGACACCAGCCTTAATTACACTTGGATATAAGCTAGGCTACCAGAGTGGCCGGGGACCACTTGCCTGGCCGGGCAAAAAAAATAAAAATAAAAAAATCTAACTTTATTTTTATTTAAATTTTGGTAACGAATTCCGATGTGATCCTGTGGCAAAAGTTGTTCAGCTTTTTTTTCTGCATAACATAGTTTTTTTAACTTTTTTTCCAGACTATGTTTTATTGTTTTTTTTTGTGCGTGTTTTTCTGCTGGGGCCTTCTTTGGCTCTTGCACGGCTGGGCCGCCCGGGCAAACAAGGTGACCCGGGCGGCCCCGGCTGGTAGCCTAGGATATAAGGGGATTGAGTGGCTGCAGAGGGGGGGGGGGGGAGGAGAGGAATGGGGAGGGAGGGGAAGAGGTAAAGTGGCGAATGAAGGAAATCTCTTTCACTTTGGAATCAAGGTGTCCAGATCCACTCTCTCACTTACTAAGTTATCAGCCTTCCTTCAAGCCTGGTGATGCTGGAACTCACTCTAGACCAAACCAGGGGGGGGAGGGGGGGCCCGGAAAGCTCAGCTGATGCATGGTTGTGGGGGGCGGAAAAAGGGGGTCAAGGAGTCTGTTGCCGGCCGTGGGCTGGCTCTCACACTAGGACTGTTTTGCATGTATCTGACATCCATTGCATCCAAACTGGATGGATCTGGCAGTAATTTTGCCCAGAAATCAGTCGGAAAGGGGAGGGGGGAAAGCTCAGCTGATGCATGGTCATGGGGGGCGGAAAAAGGGGGTCAAGGGAGTCTGTTGCTGGTCGTGGGCTGGCTCTCACACTAGAACTGTTTTGCATGCATCTGACATCAATTGCGTCCAAACTGGATGGATCTGGCTGTAATTTTGCCCAGAAATCAGTCGGAGAAGTCCTGCCGTCTTTGGGCCTCGTTAGACACTCCTCGGGCCGTCCTCGGGGCCCGAGGAAAATTTATTTTCGTCGCCCGAGGAAATTCCCGCCGTCGTTCCACTCATCCTCGGAATGGTCCCCCGAGGACGATTCCTCGGGGGCGCCCACCGCCAGTTTCATATATCGACAAGCGGACGCGGGGGGGGGGCGAGGGTGGTCCAGCGAGCTGTGTCCGTGCTGACATCGTTGGTCCAGTTCGGGTGGGCTTCGCAAAATCAAAAGTCGGCGGCCGTCAAAAAAATGAGGGCATTGGAAAAGGCGCGCAGTCCCAGATTCGAACTTCGAAATTCGAATTTGGGCATGCGAGTGACGGCACGCTATGGGCGTCCCTCGCAGCTGATGGCAACAACGTTCCTCGGCGGAAGCGTTTGGGTATGGGGTGGCGGCTGCGTGTTGGCGGGCACGGCGAACGTACACGTAGACATCCGAAGCAGCAGACACGCCGTCACACGATTGCCATCGTTGTCGTCTTCGCAGGCGCACCTTTGTCATCGACGTCTACGCCGTGCACTCCGGTTGTCACTCATGCCATCGTTGTACTGTGCCCCGGCGCTGGTGGAGAGTTGTCTAGTTCGCGACGTCCATGTCGACAGAAGCAGTATCGGCAATGGACATGAACAGGGAGCCGGGCCGTGACATACTGAGCATGGCGGAGAGGACGGTGGTGGCAGCAGCCGTGAACGTCATCCATTTCCGGTGTGAGATGGAGAGGAGCGAGGGGAGGATGAGAGCGGAGGTTCGCGCACAGCGGAAGAAGACGCTGCAGTCCATGAATGCGGAGGGCTTCGACAGTGCTGCCATTTGCGACGCCGTGCTGCAGGTGTGCTACGCCATGGGGTGCGGAGCTTTTCCCAAAGCGCTCGCTCAGGTGAAAAAAATTATGAGGCGCCAGCGCTAACGCTAACGCTCGAGAGCTCTAGTGCGCTAACGCTAGCCACAATATATCATCTAATATATGTATCTTACATACTAGAGACTCTACAAATAAAGTTTGAAAAAATAATAATTTTTTTCATGCCCCGAAATAAAGGAAAAACAAAAAGTGAAAAGAGAGGAAAAACAAATTAGCGAGGGGGCAAGCAAGTTTTGACACCACCATCTTTGTCGATTTTTCATTTTTTTTGGCTGAACAGAATGGCTTCAAAATTAATAGGGAGATACCTTACATCACAAGGAACTCACAAAATTTTTTTGAGAAAAACATAATAATATTTAGGTGCCAAAATATTTTTTTGCGGGGTCTGAACCCCTTCAGGTTCGGGCCCGTTCGGGGACCCGAACGCCCGAATGTTCGGGGGTCCGCTTAGGGGCCTCCGTACGTTCGGCCTGGCAACCCTGGGTGCCAAAATATTTTTTTGCGGGGTCCGAACCCCTTCAGGTTCGGGTCCCCGTACGCCCGAACATTCGGGGGCCAGCTTATGGGCCTCCGTACGTTCGGCCAGGCAACCCTGTATATATATATATATATATATATATATATAGGGTTCAGCCTCCTGATGAGTCGGTGAAACTCCGACGAAACAGTTTGTCACAGCCCCTCGTTTGTTGTCCTCTTCTCTCTCTCTGCCCACGGTTTACCGGGCAGTTCTGTTTGTGATGATATATATATATATATATATATCACAGCCCCTCATTTGTTGTCCTCTTCTCTCTCTCTGCCAACGGTTTACCGGGCAGTTCTGTTTGTGACGATATATATATATATATATCATCACAAACAGAATATATATATATATATATATAGGGTCACCAGCCCGTACGTGCGGAGGTCCCCGGGCAGATCTCCGTACATACGGGCGTTCGGGGTCCCGTACGGGGTCCGAACCCGACGGCGTTCGGCCCCCGCCAAAAAATATTTCGGGGCCTAAAAATAATTATTTTTTTCTGAATTTTGTTTTTGTGAGTTCTCTATGACGTGAGGTACATGCCTGTAAATTTCCAAGTCATTTGGCTAAGCCAAATAAGAATTACAAATCGCCAAAGATGGCGGTGTCAAAACGTGCTCGCCCACATATTTTTTCACTTTTTACTTTTTGTTTTCACTTTAGTTCGGGGTCTAAACAATTATTATTTTTTGAAATGTTTTTAATGGGTTTTGTATTATGTGAAGTACACATCTGTAAATTTTCAGGCCATTTAGCTAAGGCAAAAAAAAAAGAAAAATGGCTAAAGATGGCGGTGTCAAAAACATGCTCGCGCACTCACTAAATTTAATTCTTTTTTTTTTTTTTTT